TGTGTGTGTGTGTGTGTTTGTGTGTGTGTGTTCTGGTATACATGGTTTATGAGGACACCTCCCCCATAAACCAAAAGCCTTAAACCCTACACCTTGAGGTGTAGGGTAGTGTGTGTCTTTATATTTTATTATTTACTTTTGGTCTTATTTTTTTCCTGCTGTCTGAGACTTGCAACTCATTTTGGGAACTGCAGCCCTAAATCATGTACAAGACAGACACACAGAGAGACATTTAAACTGATCAGCCACATTGCACAACTGCAGTTAGTCCTGCTTGAAAAACCCATCTGGAACCCCGCAAACAGACAGACAGACGGTCAGAATGATGGAACAGAGAGGTGAAGAGAGGCATAAAGCAAAAGAGGGGCAGAGAAAATGATTGAAAAGCAGTGAAAGCTGATTCAAAGTCTGATAAAAGCATCTGTGATCAACACACACCTTCTCTTTCATGTGAATGAAGAGCAGAGGAATAAATGATATTAGGTGCAAGATCTGACTCAAAGCCTATTGGACTAATTCTGTCTTCCAAATCAATGTGGAATATTTCTACTAAATATCAGACTTCTAGCCATATATATCAGCGCTCTGTTGGCTGAAGACTCACATACAAAAAATGGCATTATTAGCACATATTAACAGACTTAGTGTCAAAACATACACTCGCTGATGCATTTGTTTCATCAGAAGTGAATGTTTATCATTAACAGGGTGCCACCATGTTCATGTGACATCACACATCTCCAAAAAGAACCACTAGTTTAATCCAAAGTCTTATGAAGCAACATGATCATGTTGTGTGATGAATGGAGCAAAAGCATTTCTAGTTGATGCTTTGCAAGTTGATACTGAAATGTGCTGTACCTACAATCTACCTATGGAAAGAGAGCGGGTGATAACAAGAGACAATTGGATCAGCAACGCGATCCAGAAAGAGATCATTACCCAGTTTGTTCATGCTGTTCAGAGAGAAAACTGTGCCACAGACGGTGATGTCTATGGATTGACAGCTAACAGTACAACAGATGTCAGCACTTCAGAGCAATTTCCTTGCAGTCTTCAGTATGCTGACAGTAATCTTGAGTCACCCGTGCTCATGGAGTCACAAAGTGTGTGAACCTGCTGATGGAGAGACTAAAGATCTTAAAGGATTAGTTCATCCAAAAATGAAAATTTTCTGACAATTTACTCACCCTTAGGCCATCCTGATTTGGAGAAATTTAGCATTACTCATGGATTTGTTTCTTACAAACACACAGCTTTCCGCTTGTACAAGATGTTAACTGATGGATTAGAGTGGTGTGGATTATTGTGATGTTTTTATCAGCTGTTTGGACTCTCATTCTGACGGCACCCATTCACTGCAGGGGATCCACTGGTGAGCAAGTGATGCAATGCTACATTTCTCCAAATCTGATGAAGAAACAAACTAATCTACATCTTGGATGGCCTGAGGAGTAGTACATTTTCAGCAAATTTTCATTTTGGGTGAACTATTCCTTTAAGTCTTGAGGCATTAATGTTCAACCAGATAAGAAAGTATGTTACAAAGATTGGTTTGAAAATGCATGAAAAACTAAGAAGAACCTGCTTATCCCAAATAATGAGAGTTTGGAGAACCATCCCACGCACTGCATGGGCATGATCAACCTATGTAAGATGCAGAAACACTGATGGGCAAATGGCTTGAAACTCTACCACATCAGCTTAAGGCCCTTATTGTTAGGCCCTGAATATGTCCAGAAAAAAAGTGATGTACTGTACCTGCTGAGATGGGCAGAAAGTCTGTCTCCCGTGCAGCTGTAGCTGTTTTTTGATGTTCTCGCTCAAACACTGACACACTCTTGCTTTTTGCTCCAGAGAATTTGCTTCCAGACCCAGAAGACAATCACATTTCTGCTGAGACAGAGACAGGGAGAGAGACAGAGATTAATATTGTAGTATGCAAATGTTTATGGGGTTTGGTCAAGTGAAGAAAAAAATAATTTGGCTTGTTTTGTTTGTAGTGCAGAGAAGCCAGAAGTTGCTCTATGTTGAGAGAAAGAGAAAAGCTCTTATTTGCTTGTGTCTCAACTGTTTTCAAGCACTGCCAGAAGTGATTAGAGATATGGGTGTGATCCATTTTGGGTGTGATCCATCTTAAGACCCCAACTGTGCACTTCACTGATTTATACACTTGTCACAGAAGGATGATGTCATAACAATGCTAACTGATGCACCACAAAAACACTTTGTCTATAAAGACAAATGACAAATGCTTGCAACGCACACACGCACACATTGGTCCAATCATTACAAGGACTTTCTACTTAATGATTGTTAGAATGGGCTAATGATAATAATGATAATTCTATCCTCACAGAAAATATTACATTTCCAATAAAACGTTTTATGTGTATATTTTTATCCATTTGAATTATGGGCATGCTTACATTCTTACAAATGTAAACAAATTCCGTTTTTTTCCACATTTTAGCCATTAATTTGATCAAACTAACAAGTGCTTTCCACATAGCGGTGTTAAGTACTTTAGTAACTCTCTGGTAAAGACAGATTCACAAATAACCTGCCTGATTTATCTCAACTCCTCTGTGTACCCTTAAATACACATGAACTAGACAAAATTACTAGCAACATGGGTACTATCTTCTCTAATACATTAGAAGCTGTTGCCCCCATCAAACTGAAAAAGGTTAGAGAAAAACGTACTGCGCCATGGTACAACAGTAATACCCATTCTC